TTGAGTCTTATTTACTTATTAAGAAACTGTTCTCTTATCAAATTCTACAATTCTTTTGGTGATGTGAATTTCCAGGCCCCCACTGACTGTAACTACAACAGAACACAATTTTCTCTTAGAGAAGAAGCATAAAGAAACAATCATAGTTCAACAAAAATCTGCGAAGCTACTAAAGATCTGCATACTCTGCTTCGGCCATTTTAATAGCAGGTAAAACTTTAGTTGTCAGGAGACCTTCATAGTGAGTCTTCTCCAGGTTCACATATTCATTGGAAGAAACTACCATCAGTATATACATGCTACAGAAGATTGAGAGATCACTATTTGGAAGTACTTATAACTAACTGGTGGCCTTGGATGGAACGAAGAAAATCTGGATTTGATTTAGCTTATGCTACATTATGACCAGGTTTGTAATCACCTGGGAGGATTGATCTTAGAAAAATCTCACACCATATATGTTGCTATAGAGGCTAGTGTTGTCCAGTAGAACTGTAGTTATCAGAATGTACCTCAATAGCACATCAGTGACATCTTAGGCATCTACTATGTGCTAGAATTCGTTGTTTCCCATTTCTCTCAGCCTCCTACTTCAGCCCATCTACTGCGATGTCCCCCTCCTGCGGGCATCAACAATCCTGTTGGTGGACTGTAAGCAGAAGAAAAAGATTGAAACAGCTGATCATATGCAAACCAAGAAGAAACAGAATCGAAAGAAAATTCGGGACAACGTTGTACTGATCAGCGCAACCATCACCTCATAATTGAATTTTTGCTTGTTGTCTTCCATATCTATCATACTGTATATGATATCCCACTCCTACAAAGCTCACACCACTATGAACTGAGATAGTCGTACACCCATAAGATTTTTGCACACTATCTTTCAAGAAACAGCAAGGCCACAATAATTGATCATGCTCATGTCCAAACCCAGCAACTCTTCTATTATGCATCAAGATGATTTATATCAACTACAAATATTCGCTTGTCCATTTCATCAGAGAGGTTATAAGCATAATGCCATTGGAAAAAAAAGATAAGAATGGACAGCATACCTTTGTTATGGTGATGAGAGCTAATTTTATAGGAAATGCACCCAGGAGACACAAGCCTCAGTCTATATATGTACCTGTCATGGCAATAATGTGAAGAGAAATGAAGTTGAATATAACAGACCAAATACCCAATTGAGTATCAAAATAACATAAATTGTAAAGTAGTGGGATGAAAATACCAACCTGTATTTCTTCAGTATAGGCAACCAGTTCTAGAGCTAATGGTACATTTTAAGCTCGAACGTACATACACAGCACACCTAATTTGACTAAGTTCAACTGATGCCGCAAAACCAGCTCCTTCACTGAAAAGGGAAAACAACTTCAGAACCAAAATGAGAAGTTTGCTAAAATAGATCTCCACCACCATTGTTGTGGATTTGTTCCTTTATCTTAACAAAATAAATACTAAAGACTTTATCTTAACAAAATAAATACTAAAGAGCACACTTTTGCCAAATATTTCTTAATTGATATGTATAGCAAGAAACATGCGAGAAATTTTCCTACCTCAACATGGACTAAGTACTGACCATCAAAACTGCAGCTGAAGAAAACAAATAATCCACCCATAGAAAAGGAAAAAGGAAAGAAGGTGGTAAACTTCATGACACTGGTTATCATGGAACCAAAACAGAGCTAGCGAGCAATCACGGAGCCAACGGAGCCAGCAAGCCAAGTAGTGAATTGAGCCTCCCATCTTGACTCAGTAGGTTGCTGAGGATTGGTGATACTTGCCAGAACTATCCCAGATTCTGGTGCTCCTGCAACAACCCTGACAAGTCACCGAGGGCATCCAATCCGACGACCCTGCAGACATGGCGAAAAGACACGAATTCAGAACGGCAGTCCACCCAACAAACCCAGCAAAATACAAAGAGTGTGGTAAAGACAACTGTGAAATTTAAGCGTAAATCCATCTAAATTTAACACATACAATCCAGCAAGTTGAAACCTTCAAGCTCACGTTATGGCATTTGCTTCAAGGATAAACAAATCAGGGATGCAATCCAGCAAGAGAAGAGCAATTTAACAAGTACATTAACGAATTTAGAGGATGTTAGCATTTTATTTATGTGATGATGACTGTCTCAATCAAAATTCATATATCTCAGAGATGCAGTGCAGGAAGGGGAGCCTTGGCGCAGTGGTAAAGCTGCTGCCTTGTGACCATGAGGTCACGGGTTCAAGTCCTGGAAATAGCCTCTTACAGAAATGTAGGGAAAGGCTGCGTACAATAGACCCAAAGTGGTCGGACCCTTCCCCAGACCCTGCGCAAGCGGGAGCTACATGCACTGGGGCTGCCCTCAGAGATGCAGTGCAGCAATCAAAAGCAGATTAAAACAGTGGAGAGAGAGGATGAAGAAGAAGCAAGAAATGCAAAAATGCTCACCTTCCCAGAAGGGTGGAGATGCTCACCTAAAGCAGGAAAGAGGGAGGAACGAGGGTGCGCCGCGCGTCCAGCTCGCTGCCGGGGAGACGACCCCTTGGTCGCCTCCAACATCGTACCTCATCTGCTCGCCAACGAGCAGCACCTCCTCGCGGACGACCTCCTCGTGCACCTTCCCGAGCTCGAACTCCATGCCGTCATCCAGGTTCCGGATCCGGCATTGTTCCCCGCTGCTGCTGATGCCTCCAATCCTCTGGTTGCGCGCCAGCGGCGGCTTCCCGTGCCCGCTGGATCTGGGAAGGCTATCCTCCTCCGAGGGCCCCGCCTCCTCCGAAGTAGGCGAAGCGAGCGGCGGGGAGGGAGAGGGGGAGCAGAAGCGGGGCGGCGGCAAGAGAGGGGAGGGTATGGAGATGGAGTGGCGGCCAGTTGAGACGAGGGAACGGGGCTGGAGGAGAAAGCTGACGGGCGGCCTGCACGTCGAGCGCGTCCCTCGCGCAGTGCGGTGGTTTTTTCCCTCGCGTGGTGCGATGCGCCCTCGCTGTTTTTCTTTCCCACGCGCAGCGCGGTGCGGTGGATTTTTTCCCTCGCGTGGTGCGGTGCGCTCGAGCCATCCGTTGTGTCGACTCCTTCATCCTTTATATGTTCAATGTTCAATGTTCAATGCCCAAAAATCGGTGTACTGTGTCCTAACTCCTAAGATGGGCCTGGTCAGGGGTCAGTCGGACTGAATTCTTTTTGGGTCGGTATCAAGGGGCACTATTCATTGTCCTCCCAAACAGCCCATGATCGTCGGCCAAACCGCTGCTTGCGGTTGGCGGCGCTCCCCGTCAGCCTCGCCCCCCCCCTTATCGCTGTGTTGACGCCACCCTGCTATCCCTTCGGCCTACCAGCAGATTTCCCCGGCGAGCCTGCATCCTCCACATCCTGAATAGTCGGCCTTCAAACTCCCCTCTGCTGGCTTGGCCGACTACGGCTCGAGAGTCTGGATTAGTAGAAACAATTTGTCTGGATTAGTAGAAACAGTTTGTCTAATTCACATCTAAATGTTTTTTAAGGATGTCACATCTAAGCTCCCATAAGTATGTAATGCAGCAATAAAAAAAGATGGACAAAAAAAGAAAAGAGCATTAATAGAGTGGACATCAGCTTAGATGTGACATAACTATGTCACAACTCCTAGACAGACCCAGGTAGAGATGATAAACTATTCATATCAATAAGGAATTATTTTTTTGGGAGACGCAACGTGTGCCAAGAGGGCCAAGAGTACGGGTGAAAACAGTGCGAAAAAGGATGAAACTGGGTGCTCCAATATTTGTTTTTATATTATTTTTTTTAAAACGGAAACGAATACAGAAACCCTGGAAACAAATACTATTGAAAACGAAAACAGTGCGAATACGTACGGAAGCTCCACATTTGTTTTTATATTTTTTTTCAAAAACAGAAACGAATAGATAACCCTGGAAACAAATACTAGCGCAAACGAAAACAGAATGTACGACAAAGACATGGAACGAAAGCGAATGTTCACCGGAACAAAAGACACCTCGAACCATAGAAAAAACACAATGAAACCAACAAATTTATTTAGTGGATAAAATGATTACAAAATCTTAATATATATCATTGATATATAAATATATAATAAGATATTCATTTGTGCATAAATATTCAACTTTGGCAGCATAAAAATTTGAAAGGCATCAAACAATCAAACATTGCAGCTCAAATCACAATAGTGCTCATACCAGCGACATATTTTGAAGTTGGGCCATATGGGCTCGATTAGGGATTAGGTATTAGGCTGTCGTGATGTAGTAGTAGTACAGTTGAAGTTGGGGCATATAGTCCATTCTGCTCATTATGTGTAGGGACTAATTATGTGTTTATTGGACTGCAAAATAGCCATATGTTCATTTTTAAAATGCAAGGTTTCGTATTAACGGAAACAGAAAATTCGGTTTCCGCATCTGTTTCACCAGAAAACGATGTTCCGTTTGCATTTCCGTTTCCGCACAAAATATATTCTATTTTCCGTTTTCATTTCCGTTTTTCCTCTATGTTATCGTTTTTCGGCCGGAAAGGCGGAAAGTTTCCGCTCATTTTCATCCATAGCCCAGCTTACCCTTGAGCAGTTTGACGGTTGAGATCAAATAATCCTCTTTAAGTGGAGAGCTTACCCCCTAAAAAAACGTGGAGAGCTTACCATTTCCCCCTGCTCATATTCGGAGTATATAGCAAAGCACGGGCACATTATTATTGTAAATAAATGGAAGTATCACCGATCGTTGGAGTTGCCCGATTGTTCCGTTGATAATTGCCCAAAATCAGAGACGCAAAGTTAGGAGCAAAGGAATAGGTCCTCTTGTTAACATCTGAACCCAACAAATAGGATCTTCAGGTGCAATCACTTTTTTTTCAGGATCATTAACTCAACATTACACCAATTTGCACGAAAGAAATGATAAGAGTGCCATGCAACACAACGACTCAACAATGGTCAATGCAGATCTATAAACCTGATGGACGGAACATGCATGTGTGATGGATCAAGCGCCTCCGGTGACCCTGCCGTTGAAGATCTCGATGGTGTCGCCGCTCTTGACGTCGTGCCAGCGCAGCGTGCGCTCCTCCTCCATGACATTCTGCTTGTAGATGAAGAAGTAGGCGCCGTCGTCGGGCAGGAGGAGGTGCGGCGCCGCGCCGCCCAGCTCCGCCCGCAGCTCCTTGACGGCGTCCATGTCGCTCACCTCCAACGTCACCGCCTTGGCGCCCCACTTCACCTCCACAGACATCCGCTGCTGCGGCTTGTTAACCTTGGCCGCCCCGTTCCCGTTGTCGCACGCTGGCGGCGGCGGCGGCGGCTGGCGCACGACCACGCGCACCTCCATCTCCGTCCCATCGGCCGGCGGGTTGAACTGCGCCAGCTCCTTGTCATCCTCCATCTCCGCCTCCTCCAAGAACACGCTCACCTTTGTGGCCGGCACCGCCCCGTCTGTGCGCTCCTGGAGCATCTCCTTGAGGCGGGCGATGGTGCAGGACGCGTCCAGTTCGAGCGCGATGCGGCGGCCCTGGCCGAGGGCCGGCCCGGAGGCGACGACGTGGACGACGGCGCCGGCGGCAGTGGGGGAGTCGTCCGGCAGGACGATGAGCACGTGGGATCCCTCCACGATGGGGTAGTGCTGGGTGTCGCGGTCGTCCTCGAGCTCCTGGCCATGGAAGAAGAGGCGCTGGGACTCCACGGGGATGCCCTCCTGCTTCAGGATGTACTCCTTGATCCTCCGCACGGTGGACAAGTACCAGATCTCGACGGTGAATCGGCGACCCTGCGTCGTCTCGAACGTCACCTCCATCGCGCGCGATTCGCTTGTGTGATTTGTGAAAACGTGCGGCTGGGCATTTCCATTTTATTTATACACACAATATATGCATTGCCCATCCATCATTTAATTTAATTATTACTCGATTTATTATTCTCAGATTTGTTATTTTACCGCTTAAAGTGCCTACGTATTCATTAAAATTAAGGTTACATTTTTCGCCAGTAGAGGTACAATATATAGGCATTTATAACAAATATTCTCAGATAGCATACCATACGTGTAAAATTAATGTACGGGCTTTTACAACAAAATTTCCATCCATGGTAATACGCGATGTTATTCTCATATCTGCAAAAATTATTGAGCAAGCATTTATAAGAAAATATTCTGAGATATGTGCATGCATCCATGCATGATGACACAATTGTTTTTTTTTTGAGGGAAATGCATGATGACACATGATCTCTCTCAGTTTTTTTTTGAGGGGTAGATCTCTCTAAGATAAACCTGAGCATGGGCAGCCGGGCCGGACGGTCGGGATGAGCTCCAGGTATAGGCTCGATGGCCTGGCCCAGAGGTCTGAATTACCTCAAAAACAGAGTTTAGTTTATCTACATTTATACTGCCCAAAAATAATTTAAATAATTTTATTTAATAGGAAAAGTGCACAGTTTAATTGTTCAGGACCGGGTTCGGGTTTTTGCGGTCGGGCTTTATATAACCCGCCCAAGTAATGCCCTAGTTTAGTTGAAGAGTTGATGCCAAAGTCCTTCTCCCGCTCGGTACTAAGAGCAACTCTAGCAGACCCCGCAAAAATACGACCCGCAAAACACATTTGCGGATTGATGAAGGTCGCGTTTACGGGTCAAAAACATGTGCGGCCGAGCAGAACCCGTATCTAAATCCGCATATTTTGAAAAAATAATTTCGCGAGAGAAACTGCACAAACATAGTTCACATACTACATAGTTCATCACATGATCAACAAACTACAAGCATAGCTATATTACATACTACGTTAAACTAGTACTAGGGGGTCCGATCTGAAGGCGGCGAGGTCGCGGCAAACTGGACGACGCCGTGGAGGAGCCGGACGCTCAATCCTCCTCGCCGGAGCTGCACAGATCGACGTACTTCTCCGCTTGCTCCGCGCAGATGCGGCGCCACTCGCCAGCCTTCTCGTTGGCGGCAACGTTGTCGGCAACCGCCTGCCGCCACTCGAGGGCTTCGAGCTCCTCGGCGTGGCGCCGGTGCTCCTCCTCCTCGTGCACGCTCCGCTCGGCGTTGGCGGCGGCGACGGCGTCGAAGTCCGCGACAAAGTCCTCGGGCCCGAGGACTCCGTGGCGGCCGAGCGGAGCGGGCTCCTCGGGCTCCTCCTTCACCGGGACGAACGGCGCTGGCGGCTCCGGCTCCTCCTCCTCGTCCGACCACTCCCTCTTCACGGGGAGGAAACCCGCGGCGGCGGCGGAGGAGGATCCGGCATAGGAAGACCTCGTGGAGGAGAAGGACGCGCGCCGGCGGTCGTACTCCTCCGTCTCGCGGCGCTCGAAGCTCGCCGGCGGCGACAGCCCGTGGTTGGTCCCCTTCCGGGCGCCGCGCTTCCTCGCGTCATCGGACCGGACGCGCCGCTCGCGCTCCGGGTCCCTCTCACGTCCGGATCTGCTGCCGGAGCCGCGTCCGGAGCTCCACATTCGCCCCCACATGGCGGCTGGAGGCAGGGCGGAGGGTCACCGGCGGCGAGAAATTGGGCGAGGAGAAAGGGGAATCGGGTGGCTCGCGGCGGTGGGGGATAGGGTTTCGACCCGCAAAAGGGTCGCGGAACCGCACTTATAGTGCTCGTGGCGTGCGGTTTGCGGGCTGCGGCAAAAAAATTTACGGGCCGGGCGAGTATGCGAGTTCTGTTCTGGCCGGAAAATTGGCCCCAGCCCGCATACTCGCCGGAATATTTGCGGGCCGGGCGTTTTGCGGGGTCTGCTAGAGTTGCTCTAAGGGGTAGTCACGTACCAAAGCAGGCTAGAAATACTGTATTGTATTTTTTCTTCATATTTTGTTTTTGTGATGGGTATTTTTTCTTCATATTGACATTACAATTTTCGGTATTGGCTAGAAACATCAAATAATATATTTTCAGCCATGATATGTGTATGATACTTCACGTTCCAAATTGGTACGACACATCAAGCACATCAGTGGATCACATCAATTTTCTAATCTATGTGGCTGATAAAAGCATCATATCAAAATCGTAAGTGCAATTTCCTAATATATTATGTATATTTTAAATATTTTTTGAAAAATAAAATATAATTGAAAGCCTTTTCAAGAATCAAAATAATTACTTGAGAGGCTATTTACAAAAGATAAAATAATAAGTCAACACAATTCAATTTATTAATTATTTCGAATTTTTTTCTGAAACATATAATTTAATTTTTCAAAACATGATTTTTACTGCAGTGACATTTCAAATATTTACGGAATGCATATTTTAATGTCAGTAACTATGTCAATAATTTCGCTATTCTGAAAAAATAATATCACATGAGTTTCAGTTTTTTTTTCCAGGGACAACTGTTTCAATAATTTTAGTTAGTGCACTAATTTTAGAAACAATTATTATGACAATTTCACTTGCTTTCACATATCACAATCCATATTTTACAAATCGCACATATCAAAAAGCATATTTTGCAAGTGGCGGTAACCCCTATGACATATTACCAAATTTCACATATTAGAAAGTTGACTTCATTTCACACATTTCACATGTTGAACATAACAGAAACTAATGAAACACATATGTTTCACACAGAATTCACAAGCCGAATACATCTTTTCAGCAATTAATGAAACATAGATGCATAAGATGAACCAATAGATACCAAGTAGATTTCACAACTTCGATTTTGATCCATTATCTAAATTCCAATATAGGGACCTCGCCCCTTGGCCCGAGCAAGGAAAGAGGGGAGGAACTCTGTCAATTCTATAGAGAATGACAAGAATGCACATCACCACCACATACGTAGAGGGGGAGAAGCGGGGGAGGCCGCCCATCATGAGAAGAATCTCACGGAGCAGGAGAAGGACCTCACCCAGTGGACGATGCAGCAACACCTCACCCGTGGCACAAGGGGATGACAAGATCCACTGGTATTAGGATCGCCCACCTACCACTCATCAACCAAAAGAGGGACGAGGGGCTGGTCTTGAAGGAGAACGGCAAGGACAAAGATGAGCATGGGGTGGTGGTCGCAGTAAGTGGCTCCGAATTCGGTGTGGTCATCTCTCTCTCTCTCTCTCTCTCTCTCTCTCCCTTGCTCTCTCTCTCTCTCTCTTTCTATCAGTTTTGGACGGGGCGGTTTCTGCCTTTTATTGAAATAAATGCTAATAGTCCTACCAATCTAAAAGTAGGAACGTTGGTTGATTTGGCTCTGCTACGTATGGTCCTGATAGAATCGCCAAACTGAAGAGTTCATGTGTAGAAAAAAATGCGCCACAGAATAAATGTTTTGACGCTGAAGAGCTTAACGACATTAATAGATACACACTCCTTAAATTGTAAACATTGACAATGGTAGGCTAATGATATCATTTAGTTTTTAAATCAATTTTGGTCTATATCAATAGAACATGGAATCCAACCATATATAGGATAAATATACCCAGAGATACAACTTGCACCCCAAAGTTCAACCCGGTCTAGGAAGCCAACCACACTATTATCGCTAGACCAAGCTAACAACCTTGTGTGGAAAGGCTCAGAAGAAGATGGTGTGCAAAAATGCAAACCACTTTCACATTCATTACTTGTTGCCGCTTCTATGATTCTTAAGAATGCAAATTTGACTAATAGAACTTAAAATAGCAAGTGGTAGACACATGTTGCACAAATTCTAGAAACTGGCAATGTAGGCAAAATCATACCTTTTCTTGAGTCTAAGTACCCATGCTGATGTTATAGAGCAAATATTTATATTGGGCACCATGTTGATATTCAAGATCTATTAGTATTCGGGGCTACTAGCCCTCGCGGGCAGGCTGGAGTGACTATTTTCAGCATTTTCATGAGAGGATTTGTTAAAGATTACAAGGATGGATGTAAAAACAAATATCACTACAGGCCCAAGAGGGAACATTGCTATGGGCCGCCCGGGACGCCGGTTCCTTTGAATGGGGTGTATGTGAGAGCCTGCTTTAATATGAATGATAGATGATAGACTACTCATATCAACAATTTTTTTTCTTATCCAGGAGCCCATCCGAAAGGAACCTCAAAATTAGGCGTGCTTGGCTTGGAGCTTGGACCGATTTAAGAATGGGTGGCCGACTGAAAAGTTAACCCCGGATGTGCATGAGTGAGGACCAAGTGTGTAGGAAAGACTAGTGTCGGTCCAGTCTAGATCCTACCAGGCATAACAGCCAGGACATGTCACTGTGGTCGGGGCGTTACACGTCGTTGGCAGCCATCCTTCGAAACAAAAATGACCGACCCAAATTTGAAAGCACGGTATCATATCTATTCATATCTCTAAGATTTTTGTTAGTTTGATTGCATTAGAAAAATAAAGGATTCTTTCAAAGTAGTACCTCCGCATAAAAATTAGCCTACAAAAACGTTTTTCATTTTGATACGGAGGTAATAATTCTTAGCAAATTTTATATAGGATTCAACCCAGTAACCCCCCAGTGCCTAGGGCACTTTTAATTCAAACGAATTTTATTGGATTTTTTTGGAGGATTTAAATCCTTATGAATCTCTCCTCATAAATCATCTGACTCATAGGATTATAATTTTACAAGGATTGCTTTGCACTATTTTGAAAGAAAGTTTCACCCACTCGAACATCTTCCTACATTTTTTTTGCTTTCCGGTGTTACCAAACATATTTTTTAATCTAATTTTATTTTAGTTTTCTATTCTATAGGATTCAAGAGAATAATGCTGCTTTAATATTGACGAGGCACTCTTTGTAGATCAGGTGTGTTTGGGGTATTCAGTGTGTGCCGCTCAGCGGATTGTGTCAGTTTTCCTTGGTTTTTCGCTGATTAACTGCGCAATTCTCTTCAGCTAAATTAGTGGATTGACTCTGTTTTTTTTAAATAACCTGTGAACCAAGAGACTCTGGAAGTGGTATGATATTCGTCTGAAGCAAAGAGACTCTGAAAATGGAATGAAAGACGTTTGAATCAAGCAGACAGCCTTACCCCACTTGGGAGCACCAATTTGATTTTTGCACAAGATCCAAAACAGTAGCTATCTTGTCAGTTTGGAACTGGCACCAAGCGAATCAATAAAATCTTTAGGTTCTATCCTAAGAAAAAAAAAACTGGTAGCCACCTCCCACACCACTCGATAGCCGTGCACTCGGGCACTTCATCGTCTCCTCAGTCCTCAGTCCTCACCCACGTGGGGTGGTCAGTTACTCAGTCCCCAGTTGGCAAGGAACACACCACGCCACACACACACCGGGAGCGAGAGAGATGGCGACAGGAGTGGGGGAGGCCAGGGGGGAGACGGTGCTGGTCACCGGCGCCAGCGGCTTCATCGGCTCCTGGACCGTGCGCCTCCTCCTCGCCCGCGGCTACGACGTCCACGCCGCCGTCCTCAACCCCGGTCAGTGCCACCCTCCGTCCCACCCTGCACCGCCATTACGTTGACCAGAGACGGACCTGCGATGCGGCGGAGGCCACCGTTTGATTTTGTCGCTGGCGTGCCGCAGATGACAAGGCCGAGACGGAGCACCTCCTGGCGCTCGCCGGGGGCGACGAGGCCCGCGTCCGCTTCTTCCCGTGCGACCTCCTCGACGGCGCCGCCATGCTCGCCGCCGCGCGCGGCTGCTCCGGCGTCTTCCACCTCGCCTCGCCCTGCACCGTCGACCGCGTCCTCGACCCGCAGGTACCGCTGTGCTGCCCCGCGTGCTCCCCGTGACCGTCCCGCCGTTGTTGCTTCAGAGTTCAGTCCTCTCAGTACGGGGTGGCGTTTTGTGGCCGCAGAAGGAGCTGGTGGTGCCGGCCGTGGAGGGGACGCTCAACGTGCTACGCGCCGCCAAGGAGGCCGGGGGCGTGCGCCGGGTGGTGGTGACCTCGTCCGTCTCCGCCGTTGTGCCCAGCCCCGGGTGGCCCGCCGGGGAGGTCCTCGACGAGCGCTGCTGGACCGACATCGACTACTGCGAGAAGAACGGGGTGAGATGATACGACCACCTTACAAAAGTGCAGTTACTAACCATGCCAAAAACAACCTGCAGTGCATGGAAATGCTATCTGCAACCTGCAGTGCAGTACAGTTTGTTACTGCAGAAGTGCATAGTTTGTTTGATGAGATGAAAATATGAAATCACATACTGTATTTTTTTAGAAAAGGATGAAATCACATATGGCTCAGTTGTGCAGATGACAGAATGATCCAACTTCCCCCCCAATCTGATTTGATTCTATTGAATCAATGGACAGAAATTTTGCACATAGAGGGCATCTTGTAAAATTGTTAAGATGAAACGCGGTTATCTCAGGTTCTATCTTTTCTTGGACAGGTCTGGTACCCTGCTTCAAAGACACTGGCTGAGAAGGCAGCATGGAAGTTTGCAGAGGAGAATGGACTGGATGTAGTTGTTGTCAATCCAGGGACTGTTTTGGGCCCGATGATTCCGCCAAGGATCAATGCTAGCATGGCCATGTTTCTTCGCTTACTTGAAGGTACGCTATTACGATCATGCAGTCTTGATAATTCTCTGTTCATAGTTTAAGATCTTTTTCATAATTTGCCAGATAAAGAAATTTATATAGTACTACTCTTTAATCATTGCTTAGTACCTCTAGAATGTTTGCTGATAGGTTAGCAATAATATCATGAGTAACAGACTGAAGCAGGGGCAATTCATGAACTTGTACGAACTGAACACATTCTTTTCCTGATGAAACCTTCATATAACATCTAAATTCACAACCTTAAGCATCAGCAAATGGATGATCGAATTTGTACTTGTACTTTACGAGAACTGGCCGAAATGATGCTACTTACGCTGTACTACTTCATATTCTGCAGTGGTTAGTACTACTAGAGAGTAACTGCAAGGTTTGTCATATCTGAACCCTTTTCTGCTCCATACTTTACACAACAATTCCTCTGCTTTGGCATAAAAACCATAATTTGAAAATCATCCTGCATTGGCATTCATAACCTGGCAACGTAAATTACTTGCACTTGCTATGCACAAGACTTTTCTTGTCCGGTTATGTGTGTGATTGCTATGATAAGGAAACACCTCCTAAACACATCTCTCTGCACACACAGGCTGCACTGAGGAGTATAAGGATTTCTTCATTGGGCCAGTCCACGTGGAAGACGTCGCATTAGCCCATATCACGCTGTTCGAGAACCCGTCGGCGTCCGGGAGGCACCTCTGCGTGGAGCCCATCTGTCACTGGAGCGATTTCGCGTCGAAAGTCGCCGAGCTCTACCCTGACTACAAGGTCCCAAAGTAAGCAACACACACTGAACACATACTTCACATGTTTGGAGTACAATAATTTCATAGCAAGCAGCAACATAAATGGACTGTTAATCTCTTCGTGTTTGATCGGTTTGGTCGGCAGATTCCCCGAGGACACGCAGCCGGGGCTGGTGAGAGCGGAAGCGGTGCCGAAGAAGCTGAAGGCGCTGGGCCTGCAGTTCACTCCGTTGGAGAAGATCATAAGGGACGCCGTGGAGAGCCTCCGGAGCAGAGGATGCATCGCCTGATGGTGATGGCTGGATTATTATTAGGTGCACTGTATTCCTTCCTTCCCCTCTGTTGCTGGCTCATGATCAAACCTTGCTTCTGAGATGTGTTGTGCCCAGCCCAGTGCTAGACCTTATTGTTGCCTGCTGTATGATTGTGCAATAACGGCTGGTTGATCTGCTGGTACACTGTAATGGTTCTCTTGCTAGATTGTTCCTACAAATCTTTGCGTGTTGCGAGGAGGAAGATCACCGATGAATAATTGTCCATGATAAGAGAGAAGAAAACAGTACTCTCGAAACTGAGCCAATAATGAAACTAAAAATGCCCACAAAATCGGATTTCTTTGCGCAAATTCAGTTTCATGGCTTTATGTTCGTGTCAAATCTTTTCATGGCTTGTACTGTACTCCCTCCGTCCGGAAATACTTGTCATCAAAATGGATAAAAGGGAATAACATTCAATTTTTAGTGTATAATAACATTTTTAGATTCCCATGCACGAAGAACGAGACTGATATTCTTAGTGTATAATAACATTAAATTTTTTCATATGGTTTAACTTTGATTTTTCCCATGCCTATTTAGGATTTCTATATTTTTAATATTTCTGCGAACTAAACACCGAAGTTTACAAAATTCGTCAACCCTCTGTTTTGCACATGCACTTGATATAATATGCCTATGCTTTTTTTCTTCTGTTACTACGTTTTTAGAATCTCGCGAACCGAACATTCCTTGAATTGAAAGCTAAAGACACGACAAAACAAAGAAGAACATAGCAAGAGGAACATGTTTGCAACTTTTATAGCCACTGCACACAAATTGACTAGAGGAGATCCGGAGTAGTCCTCGATCTGCCTGACACTATCTACCCGTCTCACTCTCGCCACAAGTAGGTATCCCCTATATCTTCATACATGGGATCCCTTATCAAGATTCAGCTGTTAAAGTATTTCAACATAATACCGCCCATGTAAATTACATAAATGATTCTTACTATTACTATTTTTTAGGGTAATACTATTACTATTACTATTACTATTACTATTACTATTACTATTAAGGAACTTAGTGTGATGGTTGCTACACTAATGGTTGCTCTACATGCATCTTAGTGAGATTCTTATGCTTTATGTGCCACAGGTTTAACTCTCGTATTTAATTTATTATGATGAATTTTATTTGAGAAATGCTACAAGCACTTATGTATACTAGTTGTACCTCACACGTTACAACAAGCATATCAAATAACTGATTTGATGTTCATTAATGATTATTATAATCAATTTTATATCATTATCTAGCACAAAGAACACAAACGATATGAGTGGATTGATAATTGAATACACCGGATGATCGGAAAATGTCACACATTTGAAGCAAAATAAAAAAAAACCCAGTAAAAATCAACATGCAAGTGATTGTATGCTAGCTCATAACCTTATGTACTCTAGAATTTCTATTTTTTTATATGTAATCATACACTAGAAACCACTGTTTATATATGTATGTATATATACACACCAAACGCACACCCACACACACACACACGCGCACGAATATCTATACATTATGAAAAAAGATATCACATTGATGAGATTTTATTCTTTTACATATTGTCGCATTTGATCACAAAATTCCTCAAATGGAACGATGCCTTGAACATCAAATTTAACATGGCGCAAACATATTTTGATGACATATATTAAGTACAATATAAGGACAACAACATCATCAATAATTATCAGCATTGCTATGTGATGCTAACTGAGTCAATAAAATATTTAAAATATATAAGTTAACATACTAGTACCTCCGTCAATGTTTATTGGGCCCACTTGTATTTTGGATCAAACTTTGACCATATATAATATTAACAAAATATAAATTATATGATAAAAAATATATTGTTGGATTCGTATTTGAAAGATTTTTCCCCTAGTATAATTATGTGACATATATTTTAAATTTTATTAGTTACGTCAAACTTTAGCCAAAAAAAGACGGGGCCCAATAAACCCAGATGGAGGTAATAAATTAATAAGAAAATGTATTGTAAAGAAATATAAAAGTTTGGTATAAGTATCATGCCTAGCCATATGTTTGAGCAGAGTTAGAAAAAATTCGTTACTTTTGGGGAGTCAATTCTTCAGGATTACCATTTGACCTAGGAAATTTTTTGTCCAATATGCACAAGACTTTCCTCGTGTTCGTGGGAAGTCAACCCTTCACAAGCAAGATTGACTTGGCAGTAGAGTCGCCTTACATGATCAAGGATTAAGAAAAATGATCAAAATCCTCTCGCTTTTGCATTGGGGTCAATTCTCCACAAGCGAGAATCATGCCTAGCCATACTTTTGAGCGAGAAAAAGTCCCTTATTTTTGTGCAATGTGCACAAGACTTTACTTACATAAGTGGGAAGTCAACCCTTCACGACATAGATGGCATGCGATCAAATTTGTATTTATTATCACCAGCAATAAGGAGTTATAAAAGTGAACAGTGGTGAGGGTATTTTGAAACAATGTTTTAGTGAGAATGAAAAGATATTCATAAATGTGTAACTGCATGTAATAATTAAACTTATGGATTCGAAGGTGAACAATAAGAAAAAAAATAGTCATTGACTCGCTGAGCTCATATGCACCCATCTTGCCATAATCATGATCTGGGAAATAAATGGATTCATCAAGCACTTACCACGGTGCACTATTGGTGAAGAGCGATAACGAAAGCTGGAGCGCGCGAGAAACACAACGTCGGCGTATGGATCTAGCATCCCAACCCATCCTATGGCGAATCCAGGAGGTGTGAGGGCTAGGTGGGGAGAGGCATGAAAGCTAGGGCATATGAGAGAGAGTGCACAATGGGAGAAGATGAATCAGGGTGGATCGGGCGACGAGTGCCACCCCACCTATCAGCAGCGCCGTCATCGGCTGGTTGATGTGTTCGCCTATAAGGAGATCCTCTGCTCTATGACCACCCTAACGGGAGCTAGGAGGTGTCACTGCCGGCAGAGGAGGTGCTGCTCAAGCCGACCCTCGACATCAATTTCGCCTGCAATGGCACGAACCTTGTCGTCGTCCACCAGGACAGGGGAGATGGCGACACGAGTTGGGGAGGCCAGGAGGGAGATGGTGCTGGTCATCGGCGCCAGCGGCTTCATCGGCTCCTGGACCGTGCGACTCCTCCTCGCCTGCGGCTACTCCGTCCACGCCGCCGTCCTCAACCCTGGTCAATGCCACCCTCCATCCCACCATGCACCGCCATTACGTTATGTTGACTAGGGACAGGATTTTGCTGGCGTGGCGCAGATGACAAGGCCGAGATGGAGCACCTCCTGGCGCTCACCTGCGGGGACGAGGCTGAAGGAAATATGCCCTAGAGGCAATAATAAAGTTGTTATTTATATTTCCTTATATCATGATAAATGTTTATTATTCATGCTAGAATTGTATTAGCCGGAAACTTAGTACATGTGTGAATACATAGACAAAACAAAGTGTCCCTAGTATGCCTCTACTTGACTAGCTCATTAATCAAAGATGGTTATGTTTCCTAACCATAGGCATGTGTTGTCATTTGATGAACGGTATCACATCATTAGAGAATGATGTGATGGACAAGACCCATCCATTAGCTTAGCATAATGATCGATAAGTTTTATTGCTATTGCTTTCTTCATGACTTATACATGTTCCTCTGACTATGAGATTATGCAACTCCCGAATACCGGAGGAACACCTTGTGTGCTATCAAACGTCACAATGTAACTGGGTGATTATAAAGATGCTCTACAGGTGTCTCCGAAGGTGTTTGTTGGGTTGGCATAGATCGAGAATAGGATTTGTCACTCCGTGTATCAGAGAGGTATCTCTGGGCCCTCTCGGTAATGCTCATCACTATAAGCCTTGCAAGCAATGTAACTAATGAGCTAGTTGCGGGATGAAGCATTACAGAACGAGTAAAGAGACTTGCCGGTAATGAGATTGAACTAGGTATGATGATACCGAGGATCGAATCTCGGGCAAGTAACATACCGATGACAAAGGGAACAACGTATGTTGTTGTGCGGTTTGACCGATAAAGATCTTCGTAGAATATGTAGGAGCCAATATGAGAATCCAGGTTCCGCTATTGGTTATTGACCGAAGATGTGTCTCGGTCATGTCTACATAGTTCTCGAACCCGTAGGGTCCGCATGCTTAACGTTCGATGACAATTTGTATTATGAGTTATGTGTTTTTGATGACCGATGTTTGTTTAGAGTTCCGGATGAGATCACAGACATGACGAGGAGTCTCGAAATGGTCGAGAGGTAAAGATTGATATATGATACGTCTCCAACATATCTATAATTTTTTTATTGTTCTATGTTGTTATATTATCATTCTTGGATGTTTTACAATCATTTTATAGTCATTTTATATCATTTTTGGTACTAACCTATTGACATAGTGCCAAGTGCCACTTGTTGTTTTCTGCATGTTTTTTTACATCGCAGGAAATCAATATCAGACAGGGTCCAAATGCCACGCCACTTCACGATGATTTTCTATGGACCAAAAGGAAGAAGTTGGGCCCTGGTTGCACCTGGGGGGAGTCCCGAGGAGGGGACAACCCACCAGAGCGCGCCAGGAGGCCCAGGTGCGCCCTGGTGGGTTGTACCCACCTTGGGTGCCCCCTGGACCGCCTCTTTGCTCTATAAATACCCCAATATTTCAGAAACCCTAGGGGAGTCGATGAAATATTCATCCAGCCGCCGCAGAGTCCAGAACCACCAGATCCAATCTAGACACCATCACAGAGGGGTTCACCACTTCCATTGGTGCCTTTCCGATGATGCATGAGTAGTTCTTTGTAGACCTACGAGTCCGTAGTTAGTAGCTAGATGGCTTCCTCTCTCTCTCTCTCTCTCTCTCTCTTGATTATCGATACAATGGTCTCTTGGAGATCCATATGATGTAAGTATTTTGGCGGTGTGTCTGTTGGGATCCGATGAACTTTGAGTTTATGATCAGATCTATGTTTTTATCCATGAAAGTTATCTGAGTCTTCTTCGATCTCTTATATGCATGATTGCTTATAGCCTCGTATTTC